TTTCTGAAGAAGGGTCTAGGCCCGAAACGTCAGCCTTCCTGCTCCTCTGATGCTGCTTGGCCTGCTGTGTTCGTCCAGCTCTACACCTTGTTATCTCAGATTCTCCAGCATCTGCAGTTCCTACTATCTCTTCAGCTTTATAGTCCTTACTGTTAAGCACTCTGCCATGGGCCTGTTGGCCAGCCACGAGTCCCCTTCACCACGCCACTGGAATGAAAGTTGCTACTCTTTGACACCATCTTGCCTCCACCGATGCCCTCAACACTATGAATCCTCGCTGTACCTCACTGATGCTGCTGGGTACTGCACTGGCCTAAACTCAACTCTGCCACCGCCATGACTCCGCTTCGGGTCCCCCTCGCCAATGCAGCCACTGCTGATGCCACCGGGTCTCGTACTGGGCCCAAACTCACCTCCGCTGCTGCCTCCACGAAGCTGCGCTGGACGCAGACGCTACTGGGAACCCAAACTCACTTCCGCCACACCAGCTATGTGTTGGCACTAGGACCACTTCCCTGGTGCAGAAGCAGCCAGGAACCCAAATCCGCCTACTGCCACGAGTCCGCTGATAACCCGAACTTCTTGTCCTTGTTCTCCCTTTTGTCCTCCTGCGGACGGTATCTAAGTCACTGCTGTCAAGGTGGTGCTACAAGAGGTGCCATCTTCCACCAGTGGGGAAGAGGGCACTGTAACCTCAGAGAAAGCACCCGCAAGACTGGTTCCTGCACCCTCCACCAGCTTAGATCCTGCACCTCGGTGGGTACTTTATCTAGGTTAGCACCTGCTGGTGGGCACATCCCTGCCAAGCAACTGCCAAGGAAGAAGTGCCTCAAAGGACTGCCAGAGACCAGGCATCTGCTCAGCCTTAGGCACGAGTGGTGCGTGCGATTTGGGATTTCACGCAAATACACACAGGAACAGCAGGGAGGATTTGTTGGTGGTACGGGGCAACCTGACACTAGGTTACAGAATTGCAGCAACGTAGTTGGGACTCTGCTAACACTGGTTTGTGAATGTCTGGCCCCTTCCATGGAGAGCCAGGTCCAGTACCCTCAGTGTCTGCTGGATATACTCCATCGCTGTAAGCATAGGTGACAGGATGGGCGAAGGACATTGGCCTCACTCCAGGTTCCCCTTCCTAATGAGGAGACAGGTTGGCGAGTGACAGTAAGCACACAGCTAGAGGAATAACCACGTACACTCCTGCCAAAGTCTCCGCCAGGCCTTGCCCCTCCACCCTACCTGCCACCTTCAACTCCCACGTTCAGGGTGAGGAGGGTGCACTTGGCTCTGGGCCGGACATACTCAGTATGTCTCGGCCCTTGAAATGCAAACATCTTCTGGGTTCACCTCTAACGGCAATGGACATCAATTTGGTCAGGCTCCCACTACTCCAGCACTGAGACGTAGTAGGAGAGAATCGAAGACGACGAACTCTGAAGGGCACATAGGTGATACAGGTGATATGTCACTGTAAATATGTTCTCACCTTTGTAAGTATATAGTCACTTTACATCATCAGCTGTCTGTCTAGCTGCAACTACAGCATTGAAGGGATAGAACTGATCCATCTCTGGTGTGACATTTTATGGTCCAAGGTATGGAGTGTGCAGGTAGTTGCTAGTTTAGCAACAAGGGTCAGTCTTTCCAGGCTGCAAAACTCTGCATCACAGTCTTTAGTGGGATTGATTTTTTTGTTTTGTCAGATGCAGTCAACAGTGCTTGGGACAAGGTGTTGGACTGCAACAGTAGATCAATGCTTAAGATTCACGTACAGCATGGTCATTATCTTGCAACTGAGCTGTATGGGACTTTGTGATGTTGTTGCCCTTTTTGAAGGGCCTGACATTGCTCAAAATTCAAAATCCCTCCCAGAATGAGACACTTACCCTGCTCCACTCTGGGTGTGATAGCAGCTATTTTTATCTCTGTTGCATGCTTGCCATTTACAGCAAGATGGAAGGAAACAACATTTTATTGAACTTCATATATTCCCGACAGTGTGGAAACAGGCCCTTCGGCCCAGCAAGTTGCCAATGACTCCGCGAAGAACTTCCCACCCAATTTACACATCCCTAGATACTGTGAGCAATCCACCTAACTTTGGAATGTGGGAGGAAACCGGAGCACCCAATGGAAACCCACACAGACACAGGGAGAATGTGCAAACTCCACACAGACAGTTGCCCAAGGCTGGAACTGAACCCAGGACAATGGCACTGTGAGGCAACAGTGCTAACCACTGTGCCACCCTTGCTCTTAAAGCAGTGACTTTCAGGCTCAGCCTCTTAGCAGCCTTAGTAAAACCCAAAGGTACACATTCCCTTCTTGGTAGCCCTATCCATCAATCCAATAGGCTTTGAACTTCTCCAAGAGTTAACCCAACCCATACAACTAAATCTTTATCTCTCCACCTTACCCAACCCCAGACATATCAAGGTGCCAGATGTGGTCATGCTGATTGTGGGAAATCAACCAGCTATGTCTTGTACAAACAAAAAGCATGGAAAATTCAACTCTTTCTGTTGTCTTTATTTCTCCTGTTTGTTGGGCGTGTCTCTATTCTTCCTTTCTTTGGTGTGTCATTATCTTTTCTCTCTCTGCTGTATCTCCTTATCCATTTTTCTTTTATTCCTGTTCCCTCTGGTCTCTCTTTCTGTATCCTTCCTGTTGCTCATGACTTTTGTCATTCCTCCTCTCTCTAGTGTAATCTGTCTGTCCCTGTACTGACCTCTCACTTGATTCCTCCTCTGTCTGCTCTTCATGGTGTCATTTTCTCGCTTACACTGTCTTTATTCCTCCTATGCAATGTGTATATTTAGTATTCGTACTGTGTGGGCATCACTGGAAAAGCTGGAATTTGTTGCTGCGCACTAGTCTCCCTGAGGTAGTGGTAACAGATGGGCTTTTTTTCTTGATGTACCACTGTTTGTGTAAAGGTGGTACTCAGTTGGTCTTTGTTGGCTTTACTTTGGTTATTTTCCACAGTGGTTTTGATATAATCAGTCACTTGCTTGGTAATTCCGTGTCAAGCAGGTTGGAGTTGCAGATGGGTCAGACTAGGTAATGACAACCTGCAGTCAACAATGAACCAATGTATCACAAGGATTTATGGTCGCTTTTACCAATTTATGGTCGCTTTTACCAATTTAACATGGATGTATTTCCAGCTTGGTGAACTGAATTTAAATTCTAAACTTACTAAAACAGATTTTAGCTCTCATTCTCTATAATTAAAGCAGGTATTATTTTGATTACTAGAACAGAACATAATGATCACTCTGTCTTATCCAGGTAAGTACTAAAATTCCACTGCTTTTTGCCCCACTTCACTGGCTATATTTAAAAAGGATGTGCAGTTAATTTAAAACCAAACATGCCTGTTTCCCGTATGTACTGTTTACTCTCCTCTATCACCACATTAAAAAAAAATCATCCAAAGTCTATAAACTATTTTAGAATATTCAGGTTAATAAAGTGTGATTGACAGAAACTTATAGGATTGAATAAATTGAGTTGTTTGTTTGCTTTTATCAACTGAAGTAGCTCTTTTTCTCAGATGTGTGCAGAAGGTTACTCGTTGCCTGATGTTCTGACACACATCACTAAAGATGATTTAAGAAGCCTCCAACTCCGGTAAGTGCAGTTTGAAATGGCAAACTTATTTACATAATTGCCCCATTTGTAGTGGCTCTTGCTAATGAACTGCAAAAAGAAAGATGGGACAAAGCTGAGCACTGCAGTTTACATTACAGGAATTTTTTTTGATCTTTGTGGTGATCCGAATTGAGTTTCTGCTTCAAGTATAAAGTTCTCATTGCTTTCACTAACTGTTGCAGCAACAATTCTTGTAAAATTAAACGTCTTTTATTGTTATTCAAGAACTTAGAGGGTACTAGCTGGCAATGAATGCAACTGATCGTCCTAGATTTTGGTATTGATGAGCAAAGCTCTGTTTAAATTTTGAAGGACAAGGCCAGTGTTCACTTTTTCCTTGAGGCAAGAGTGAACATTGAAACTTTAACTCAGTGCTGCATCTTTGCTCCAGATTTCAGTAGCAGTATTAATGTGGACCTTGCTGTCTTGGTAATGAAGTGAACCTATTACAAATACAACCCATTGTACACAATAATCAGGTTGTACTGAACTCAGCAAAGTCTCCCTTTAAAGCAATTGTGGCAGGCAAAGAGAGAAAATACCAAATATCTGGGAGCAAATTCAAGGCTGCACATTAATCAATGAATTCAAATGATAGAATTTGTCAGAAGATAAAGTTTATTTACAGATTTTTCAGGGTCCTTTAAATCCTGAAATGGAATTAACTTTTGAAATCACTGTAGAATCTTTTCACTTGCTTTGCTAAATTTTCCGCCAAAAAGGGACATGTGTTTGCATTCATAGTAAATATTGTGGATGTGCTTAGTTCTCAGTATTTCCTATCATCAGGAAATGTATTTGTAATGGTCAAAAGCACATAAAAGGAAAGCATTTTTAACAAAACTATGAGTGGAGAAAACAACTGACATAGAAAATGATCAGATCTCAGGTAGCATAGGCAAAAATCTGGACTTATTGAAACAGAAACAATTAACACAAACAAATGCTTGGCATGTACATGCACACTGAAGTGGAATGGATTAAGCTGAAGAAGGGAAGAGGAATTTTTCCCATTACTGGTTCTTTGTTTGACAGCATTGAGAAATGCCAGTTGGCTGTTTGCTGTCTTTGTATCTTATTAGTCTGAATTTTATGGCAGTAACGATGGCAAAATTCAGTGTTCACTGTCTCCACTTCTTTGATGCTGACAGCAACTTCTGAAGTCTGTGTGTGCAATTAAACATGGAAATCTAGAAGTTACTATCATTTACATTTCCTCCTTGCTGTGGAAATGCCAGGCTGTAACCAAATAGAAATCACTGAAGTGAAGTAAACCTCTACTCTGGACTCTGTCCTGCTGTTTAAAAAAAGTTGCATCTTGATAAAGGATACTTAACTGAGTTTTTAAAACAATGTACTGAGTTCATAATTTCTGTTGAGCCACAATACTCATGTAGAACAAACATGGGTTGATGTGGAGTACAACCCTAGATAATTGCCAGTGAGAGGATGGACTCAGTGGCAATGGGACAATATTTTCAGCCTCTGCCACAAACAATTGCCTTTGGGTTTTGTTTTTCCCCAATAGTCAGTTGAACAAAATGTCTGTTTAACCAATAATGGATGTAGACAAGCAGTCTGACTCATTAGAGACAGGACAGTTTTCAAGTCACTTTGTCCCTCATCACCATGCAATTTTAAAAAAAAAGTTGGAGACAGTAGCAGTCAGTGCCAACATGCCTAACACATGTTGAAACAATTAGGTTGGCTGAGTTGCTTATATGCGTGATTTATGGGCCTTAGGTTTCTATGATGCGGGAAATCAATCAGTGGAAAATCAAGCACTGAACTACGATGACCACAAATCCGTTCTCCAATCCTAATCTATACACTGCAGCACAAAATATAAATGTAGATGTAGCAATTCAATAGTCAACCAAAGTATAATATAATTCCTCCGCAAGCCAGTGAGGGATTTCAGACCCTCAACTGTGACCAGGGAAGGAAGATGAAAAAAAATCACTCCTAGCTAATTTGGTACATTATTCAAAAAGCTCTGTATTCATTTTAGTTTGGAAGTTTAATCCTTCAAATCAGCAGATGGACCAGGCCCATACAAGTGTGTTTGATTTATAACAGCTAATACTTCTCATCCAAGGAGCCCTAGGGACCAGTGAATGCACCGGGTATTCTCTCTTGTGAGCCTGTATCATACTCTGCACACACTTCTTTCTGTTTGTGAAAATGTATTTTGGGGCTAATTTATTATAGAAAAGTAGCTCTGGGGGAGAACAGTTCAAATTATGAATGTTACGTACAAAGTATTAAATGTTGTTTTCCATGTTTTAGAGGCGGACCTATTTGCCGAATCTGGAATGGTATTTTAAAGTTCAGGAAAGGAGACTAACCTTCCAGAGTGCTATTTTTACGATAGGAATGACCAAAGCTGCTATTATACCAAGTAATTATGTCTGTATTGAGTTGTGTATTTGCATAGATTTATCTGGATGTGTGCTGCAAAAGTCCTTCAGTACAACACATATTCTAATGCTAATTTTGAGAATGAACATGGATTGTAGTCATATACAGATTGTCTGCAGGATCTGGGATTAGCAAGTGATCTGAGGGAAGCTAATCACCTCAAACTGACTTATTCTGACAAATACTATTACCCGCCCTTCACCTAAAAGCATTGAGACTACCAAGTACCAAATCAACTATAGTTCCCTCTTCCCATTCTCTGGAGAAGTAATGTCATTTAAATTGCTCATTACCTGTTCTTAATTAGAAATGAAATGTATTTTCACCAATAAATCAAAAGTTGATATCCTGGATGTAATCAACAGCAAGGACCTCTCTTTAAAATATTCCCTTCAATCATTGCTCAATGTGTTCAGTTTAGCCATTGATATCAGCTAGGATTTGCAATACTAAATTATTGTATGTAATTTAATCTCCACAACATCTTTAACTGAAGTTATATGGGAAATATTTTGTCTTGCTTAAGCAATTAGCCACAATAGAGCTATTTGAGACTGAAAAAGCTAGAGTTTCCTGAATAGATGAATTCAGTATTGAAAGGACTGCATATTAGTTGGTTTTGTAGACAGAAAAGTAATTCCATATTAACATTAGCCTGAGAAATAGGTTTTGCTGCTGAATTTTTCCACTTGTACATAATTGTGCACAACATTTTATAAAGAGTATTTTCAGACAGTATCATCCTAGGAACTTAACTAGCAATTCAGCCTGGAGTCTAATAGGTGACCTTTGCTCAGCAAGATCATGTTTTGCCATTCAATTGGATTCTGTCCTTGAAGATTTTTGACAGATTTCCACTGCTGTGAAATGAAATACATTCCAATTTCCTCCCTGAATAAACTAGCTCTAAATTTAAAGTTTGCCTCTCTTGTTCAGACCTTTCCTACCAGGAGAAATAGTTTCTCCCTATCACAGCACAGAATTCTCATATTGAAAACTATTTCACAATATTCAACTGCTTTGCTGTTGGACACTGATGGCAAGGCAGCTCAGTGGGAAAACAAATATTCCTGAAAAATTCTGACATTTACTGATTTATTGCTGATTAGGTAAAATTGAACTGAGTTTAGAAAGCACCAAAAGATACCATTCTCCACATTACTGATGTTTCTTGCATTTTGCCAATTAGAACGTTAAATCCATTTAATATAATTTTCCGAGAAACACAAACTTGCTGTCAGACTTTGAACTGTATTAACCCTAGGTTAGTATAGTGGATTACAGAGCAATTTCACTGTGTAACATCTTTCAGCTCCATTTCAACTGTGCCATTGTACCATGCAGAATGGGCCAACGGTCTCACCGTGGCTGCATAATTTCCCTCTGCTAGCTCAATCAAAACAAATCTACTACTCCACGTTCTCTCCTTAACTCTGAAATCACTGATTGGATCATAAAGTCTTGTAAGGTTCTAAGACAACTAACCAACCTGCCACTTGCAGTTAATCAAAAGAGATTCTAAAAATTAAGCACTTTTAGTAACGTATTGGGAATTCAGAAACATGTCAGTGTGCCTCTACTGCATTGTCTGTGTGTTAATGTTCGTGACCTTTATACCTAAATTTCTGATTCTTGGTGTAATGAACCAGCAAATGTATTGAAGTTAGCATGGAGAGGCCCTTTCATTTCTGGACAACTTGAATCTCCTCTGGCAGTTGTTAGATTAAAAAGTGACTGACCTTCCTTTGCAGTAAGAACATGCAATAAGTACTTTTATTGTGCTCATTGCTCCCTACTTCTTCATCCTTGCAAATTAGGCTCTGCGGGACATTAAGATTAATGACAAAAATACAAGTATTAATTTTTTGAACATTAAATTCACAAAAAAGCCAACATTACACAATATAATCTTATTTTGACTTTATTACACATCAGACACTCACTATCTAGTGAGACAGCATCAACTCTGACCTGCTTCAGGAACACCCTCGATTTAAAAACAACTTAACTGGTGCAAGATGGCAAATATTAAATCATGGGACGCAATAATTCATGGGAGTTGATAAACTGCATTTGTACATAAAATAACCAAAAACTAACAGTAAAAAGGTCCTAATTTTCTTAATATGCAGTTTTGCTTAAATTTAATTTTTTATGAACCTGAACTTTAGATTCAATTTGAGAACGTACAGGTTGGTTGCGTAATAAATTTGAAGAGCATTATTCCTTTAGGAGACTGATCTATACTTGATCCATGGGTTAGTGCCCCGAACATCAAATGCTGCTTCGTTGTGGTAAATGTTGTGGGCCAGATCATCCAGAGCAGGTTCAGGGTCAGTGGTGGCAAATTGTGCTGCTTCTTCCACCTCATGTCTGACACTAACATCAATTTCCTGTAAGAAACCACAAGTGTTACTCGACCACAAGGGAAATGTTGCAAAGCAACATTATGAACCACTAAGCAATAAAAATGGTACGGAAGGACAGAATAATTGAAAATACTCATACATTGGGGGTCACATTGGCCTTGGTCAATGGGTATGAAAACTGGTTGTGTGAAAAACCAATTCCACAAAAGCCCAGATTAAGATACTGCTATATATTGATTTCACCTGCATATATACAAAGTGTCTGCTTACAGTGTTGGACTAGTTTCACCAGAACAACTAAATGATACAATTGCGGAGGTCGTCACACAGCAGCCACTAAAAGACCTGTTAACCCTTTCAGGCCACATACAACAGGGTTTTTACTCCACCATTCACAGACTGACCAGGTGGAGCTGCCCAGAATTTTGATTCTTCTTTCATGCTACTTTTACCTATGCTTTTCAAACATCTAAAATTCTATTGCAAGAAAAAAATTCAGGTGTTTTTACAGTTTTGAAAACAATTTTTCATCTTCACAATGGGACTATTTGACCCCATTTCTCTAAGCTCCTGAGTATCTTCATTTCAGTTTTCTAATGTTATTCATTTTTTACAAACACCTAACTAGTAATAGCAGAGAGATTGCTCCTCTAACAAGCTTATGCATACATTATGCTGCTGTTTGATCTGCCCCATTGCACCCCACTAATACATGACGTGCATTTCCAGCTGGACGATAGTAATCATGACTGAAGGGCAATGCAATTTTTACAATACATTATCTCAAATTTCACTACTGCACTTTAAATGCACAAAAGACCCAATTAGGAAGAGAGTCTGTTTCAGCCTTCATCCAACATCAGGATTCACTCCACAAATTGATAAAATGGAAAAACATAGATCTTAATTTGTTAAGTTTTGCAGGAATAAACTGGCCTACCAAACTGTAATTAATCAAAAATATCTGGGTTTATATAATTTCATGAAGATATCCATGTAAACAAATTTGACAAACTGTTCTACACAGTGAGATGAACAAACTGTCAATATGTTAGCTTAAAAATCAATGCCTTAACAGACGTGATCATTTGTCACAATCAAATAACCGACAAAGGCCCTGGATAGCAACATACCTTCAGCTCTTCTATGCTGGACAGGTTCTTGTTCAGCATCCTCTCCTTTAACATGGTAATGGGATCACTCTTACTTCTGACTTCCTGGATTTCTTCTCGAGTACGGTAACTGCACACAAAGTACAATTAAAACACTTGTTTACAAGATGCTGCAGGTCACTGACTTCCTTTCTTCTGATAGGCGGAACATCACCATATTTCAGTGAAGTAAATAGTAATTTGTAAATTGAGGAATTTTTAGAAGTTGTTGCTCAGTTAAAATTTCAGAATGCCTTTGAACTTGAGTAAATTAGCTTCTGCTAAGTAATGTTATTTTATCAACTTTAATCTGAGAAAATGAATACCATATGAGGAATAAGGTTGACTGTTGGAGAAGTGGAACAAATCAATGATTTTTAAAAAGTTATGCAGCAGTAAAGCAAAAGTAGTAAATAAGTGGAGATGAAAGGATTTCACAGATGTTATTAGTGAACTCAATTTGTTTCATTTCCCAGAATTTTCCTCCCTGCATGGGATTAAAAAAAAAAGTATTTTAAAACAATTTTACTGTAGTATAAAGATCAACTATATTAAAATGAGACATCCCATAATACTGTAAGTGTATATTGTTAGAATTTGAACTATTAAAATAGAGACAGATGTGCAGTTTGCTGAAGCTAACTTTTTTTGTTTTTAAAAAAAAGGTCAGTAGATCATTTGGAACAGTGAAGTGCAGACAATTTCCAGGAAGGTGTCTGATGCAGTCTTGCAGAAGAACTTTTAGTTTGTGAGCTTCCACAGAAATGTTTAAGTTGTCAGAACAGAAAGAGACTCGGGCGTACAGTGATATGACTTCTGTCTGGTCACCAAATTACGAAAACAATTAATATGCAAATCCTTTTGATATCAAATTTATCCATTCAGAAAACTCTAGCTTTCTCAGTTCCAAATGACTCTGTTGTGTCAACCGGCACAAAACGTTTGCTGTACAGAGTTAATGTTTTGGGTCCAGTGATCCTATGTTCTGAAGGAGGATCACTGAGCCTGAAATGTTAACTCTGATTTGACTCCACAACTGCTGCCAGACCTGCCGAGTTCTTCCAGCAATTTCTGTTTTTGTCTTTAACTGAAGTAATACAGGAAACAAAATGTAGAGACTAAATTACATCCAATGATTCAATGCTAGCAGACTTGGTAAAAAGTAATAAAACTGTCTGAGCAATCTGACATGGGAAGAGTTGAGATAGGAGTGATATTTCTCCAGGAATGAACAAACAAAAAGGAGATTGTTGGGAAACATTTGAAACTTTGTTCTACTATGTTAAGATATGTTTATGTAATAAACATGTTATTTTGTTAAAGAACATTTGCAGCCTCGTGTTAATACGTTTCAGTGACTAACTTCAAAAATATGATTATCAAGCCAGGTTTCATTCTAGGATCTGACTTGTCCAGTATTGCCATCAACCGAGATTGTAACAATATCAAAAGGTTATTAAGAGTTAACTGTATGAACGTAATTGATTTAGTTTGGTTCAAGATAGACTGGGAGTAGCACCCTTTTTATTTTAAAACAAGTTACTGATGACATAGCATTCTACTCCAGAAGTAATATAAACAGGAACAATGGGAACACCAAAGTACATTACAACTTTCAGATACCACAATCTGGACTATTGCACAAAATGTTGCTCATACGTTTACTGCCTTCAAGTGGAAATTCAATATAGCAATAAAGTGTGGTTGAAGACATCAACAAATGGTAGGAGTTATACTATACTACCAAATGTCATGATGGAACCTGTGCAATACAAGCTTTCAAAAGGCAATTAAATAAATGCATGAAAGAAGAAAAGCTGTGTAGATATCTGGAGTAAGAGCAATGGAGTGCAACTAACTGGACTATTCAATGGACTGAATGGTTTCTCTGTTATACTATATAAGTTAATAGAACACATTACTTTAAGAAAATAAAAACAATAGAAAGCACTATTGTTGAACTTGATGCAAAGCACACTTGTCTGGATACAAGACGTGTGGAAATAACAATTCCAGTAACCAATAAAGTGATTGTATGCTTATACAATTTCATTATGAAGTTTAGTGAAATTTAGAGCATAATCAATTAGAAGCAAACTTAGTGATCTAAAAAATGCCATGTTCTGCCATTCAGCTCTGTTTTAAAACTGTTTTACCTTAAGCTTTTTGTATTAAACTTTCATTCTTCTATTTTCTACAATCTATAAACATGCTTTGACATCTAATCTGACTTTCTAGCATGAACCCTTGCTTCTGTAACATCTCTCTTAATTGCTCAATATGCTAAAATCCCACCATCTATTTTGTACACCCAGCAGAGGAGCAGGACAGAAAAAAAAATTTGCAGGGGACATGGTACAAAATAGCAAAGGAAGAACAAACAACTGTGTGCAACTCTTGAGGGTTCCGACCAACTCAATTAAGACGTCGGACAACTATGATGGAAGTTGATGCTTACATTATAAAGTTGGTTTTAATATCTTATTCAGATCTAACATCTTTACCTGATACCAGGATCACTCATACTGTGTCCGTGATAACGATATGTTTGCAGTTCCATCAAGATAGGGCCCTGAAATTGAACAAACAATAATCTATTAATAATGTGCCATTCCAATATGTTGAAAAATATACAGTATAATAGATGCCTGGAATATATGCAGGGCATTCAACTCATTGAAGGATTCATACAGCATCAATAAAGATAAAAATGTCAGGTGACCACTTTATTGATGTCATTACTTCTAATGCATGCTGACCTCTATTTCTGGATTACTTTTCCTCAGTAATTCTTACTAAACATATACGCCTCAATGTCCTTTAGAGTTCAAAATTCAGATTATGCGATTACCTCCTTATGGGGCATTCCAACTTGTTAGCTTGCAGCCAACTGCAAACTTTGAAGTTGATGACATTCACCCACTAAAAGAGCAGTGGTTACCAGTATTCATTACCAACACATACCAGCAGCAAAAATAATACAATAAAAACATCTCTAGAATAGCTTCAATATGAAATACAATATTGTATAATGTGGAAAAAAAAGAATTCAAGGCTTTTATTGTCAATCAAGTAAGTAGTGACAGGAATAGGTACTGCTTGAATGTTGCCAGATACCTATGTTGATTTATACCTTCCTATAACATTATTCCATTATACCTAATACATGCAAACAATTTGTCATTTATTAGGGATTTATTTGTTTTCTCTATCCTACATCAACTTACAAAAT